GGTAGAAAACAAAGTTCAAAGTAAAGAGGGACCAGAACATGGAAGGATTTGACCACCATCGTAAGGAATTTGTGTTTAATTCTTCCTGAAATCACAAAATCACTGGCAATTTTTGTAGATGGGAGAGCTAAAATCATTTCTTGCCGTTCCATCTTGTCTTCAGACATGATCATGACTCAAGGTCTTTGAATACCTAGCCTCTCTACCTAGAGTGCTCTTAATCTTCTTTTTCTATGACACTCCTTATGCTAATCCTTCAAGATCCCACTCAAATGCCACTTCCTGTGAAGGCTTGCTCCCCAATCCACCTCCCATCCACACACACCCAAACACCTAGGCCTGTATGTACTCTGAGCTCTCTGTTCGTATATCTCTGTAGCAGGACTCATCACTTGCCAAATGCATTACAATTTGTCTGTCACCACCTATGTCTCCTCCAAAGTCTATGGGCCTCTTATAGGGAGAGGTTATATCTTATCTCCAATCCTTATCTCATTGCTGGTACATGGGAGGCACTTGAAGGAAATCGTTGGCAGGGAGATCAATTATATTGCAATAATTCAGAAGAAAGTTGACAAGAGTAAAGTTGAAAGGGAGATAACAAGTAGAATAGACACATTTAACACTTGGCACATGCTGTGGAAGTATAGCAGGAAGGCAGGCAGACCCTTACACCTGCGGCTTGGGTGGGTGGGAGGATGGCTACATCATTCACTACAACAGGAAATAAAAGCAGAAGTTCAGATATGAAGGAAATGGAGGAGTAGGGGAAGAAGGAGAATAGAAACATAGAGTTCCATTTGACACAGGTTGAATTGGAGGCCTGTGAATTTGACGTTCAGAGGAACACTTAAGAAGAGATGTCTAGCAAAAACAAGGAAGAAAAGAGTGTCCAGGCTTCAGAAAATTGGTCAAGACTGGAAATAACGACATAGAAGTCACTTGTATAGAGAAAAGAATTGTAGGTATAGGAAATCAGGTTGTTCCATAAAAGTATACAAAGAATAAACATTTAAAAGTATAACTTGGGGGTTATTTAAAGGGTTATCAGTTAATCAGTTTCTAGATTCATCTCCTGGTAACTTACCTTGAAGTTTGGTCATACATGTACTCCTCAGTCCCAACTGAAGCACTCCGAAATTTCTGCAAAGTTTAAAAGTCACCAAAATTAAAACAAATATGAGTCATCGTGCTAAAAAAAAAGTGATAAATGTATCCAATCTGTTTTACTCGCTCTTTAGAAAGAAAAATTACACCTTTTTTGGTGTTATGTTTTCACTCTACAGTAAAAATAGTTATTAGTTGTTCATGCATCTCTTATATCCACTGCAAGGACCATACAGTAGTCCTCGACTTAACAATGTATTCAATGTTACGATGAACTGCACTTATGACCTTCTGCGGTTTTTTTTTTTTTACACCTTATCGTTAGTAATATGTACTACATACAATGTTGTAGCACATAATTTTCTGTTGCTGTCACACTCAGACGTTCACTCGCAGATATTCAAAGATTGGTTTTATAAAGATACTGATAAAAAGCAATAATAATGAAAATTGAAAAAAAGAGAGAGAGGTATTTGACTTACATTAGAACGGACTTACGATGGAGTCATTGGAACAGAACTCTATCATAAGTCGAGGACTATCTGTACATTTGTTATTTGTACACCTACTCCTCACTTATCAACTATCTCATTATCCAACATTTTGCATTTACGACAATAGTAAAAAAAAATCTACTATTTAACTATTTTTCACATTAACGACGGGCATCTGGCGGTAATGAACACTGAGCTGCGAGGCCAGAATAACAGTGGCTGTGGTGGTTAAGGTTATGTGTTAACTTATCTGGGCTATGATTCTCAGTGGTTTGCGAGTTACATAATGATGTAATTTGGCAGTTATATAATGAGGTAATTTGGCAGCTATGTAAAGATGCAGTCATCCTCCATTTTGTAATCTGATGTGGT